ATGAACTCTGGGCCTGGGCGCTGTCCCTCAGCTCTTCAGCTCAAGGATAGCGCTCTACCACTTGACCCACAGTGCCACTTCCGGCTTTTTCTGTTTATGTGGTGCTGAGGAATCGAACCCAGGGCCTCATGCATGCAAGGCAAGCACTCTACCACTGAGCCACCTTCCCAGCTCCTACCTTTTTTTTTTTTTAAATCTAAGAGAGACCATTCTCCAACTCCGTTTAGAAGACAGTATAAGTTAAGGTAAAGAGAAGTATAGCATAGAAAATTTAAAGTGAATATGAGGCAAAACATTCTAGGTAAAATAAGTGAACTTAACAATGTGAAAACTAAATAAAATGTAACCAAGCTAAGTTTATCTCACAAATCCAAGAAGAGTTTAAGCTCTGAAAATCCCTACTTATAAAACTCACTACATTAATAAAGGAGAAGCATAAGAAGTTATCAACATATATGGGAAAAATAATTGATAACGTTCAATATCCATTTTAGGTAGAAAAATCAGGAATACAGTAGAATTTCTCTCTCTTAATTAAAATGTGGCTACAAACCTACAGAAACTTATTATACTGACAAAACACTGAAAACATTCTGAACATAATGAACAATATAAAATGGCTTCCCACTGTTGTGATTTCTTCACAAAGTTATTTTGAAGGTCAGATATACTGATTAAGAAGAAACAAATACAGAGCAGAAAGAAACAAAACTTCTTCCTTCATTTGTATGACCCCCTTTCTGGTTTACTCCCCTGACCCCAGAACATGTTTCGGCTTCCTGGTATTTATGTTATTAAATGATTTGTTAGTTGTTCAGAGGAGTTAAACCATTGAGCTTGTCCCCTAAGTATACAATTTTATTTTTCTTTTGTTGGTCATGGGGCTTGAACTCTGGGCCTGGGCGCTGTTCCTCAGCATTTCAGCTCAAGGCAAGCGCTTTACCACTTGAGCCACAGCACCACTTCCATTTTTCTGAGTGGTTTATTGAAGTCTCATGGACTTTCCGGCCCTGGCTGGCTTTGACCCATGATCCTCAGATCTCAGCCTTGTGGGTAGCTAGGATTACAGGCGTGAGCCACCGGTGCCCAGCTAAGTATAGAGTTTTTAACAATTTGTGTAGGTATGCACATATATATTACCACATGTCTGTTTGTATTTTAGAGCTAACGTCCATATATGAGATAAAACATGCATCATTTGTTTCTCTGGGCCTGACTTTTTCCCTGCAAATGACATAATATTATTCTTTCTGATAGATGATTAAAATTGTATATATGTACCACATTTGTGTTTGTGTGTGTGTGTGTGCAGGCCTTGGGGCTTGAACTTAGGGCCTGTGTGTGCTTCTTGAGCATTTTTTGCTCAAAGCTAGCATTCTAACATTTGAGCTACAGCTCCAATTCTGGCTTTTTGCTAGTTAATTGGAGCTGAGACTCTCATGAACTTTCCTGCCTAGGCTGGCTTCAAACTATGATCTTCAGGTCTCAGCTTCCTGAATAGCTGGGATTATTTGGCATGAGCTATTACTAATGACTAGCTTGTATCATATTTTCTTGAGCCACTCATCTTGTGTGGCATCTGAGCTGTTTCCGTTATATCCAATGTACATTATGTAAAAATTGAACTACCTAACTTGAGGGTAGGAATGGGATGGGAAAAATGAAAGCGAGTGATGGAAGGAGTGACATTGATCAAGATACATTGTACTCGTAACCTGACTTCTGGAATCAAAACCCCTTTGTACAACTACTTAATAAAAATAAATATTTTTAAAAGTGTGAAAAGACAGGTCATGGACATATAGCAAATAAAAAAATGTGTCAGTGATGAAAAATTAACACCAGAATATATAAGAAACTTGTATGAACAGTAATTCCATTTTTAAATTGGGTAAAAGATAAAAGTAGGTAATTCAAAAAAGAAACTTGTTAAGTAGATACATTTGTAATCTGGGTAATAAGAAGTCACACTTTCTGTTTATCTAATTGGCAAAATATAACCTTTGACAATACTATGTATTGGTGATGACAGAAACAAATAACTCATATTAGTGCTTGTTGGAAATAAAATCAGTTTAGAAATATAATCCAGAAATAATCTAAACAAATTGAAGATACAATAAGAAATCCCATAAGGCTGCAAAATCTCCACACATGTATAAAAGAGAACATGATCAATGTTACCATAGTGGCATTTGTGTGTGTGTTCTGGTCTTGGGCTTGAAAGCAGGGCCTGGGCACTATCCCTTATCTTTTATGTTCAAGGCTAAAGCTCTACCACTGGAGCCATTAATCCACTTCTGACTTTTTGTTATTAATTGGAGATGAGCGTATCATAGAATTTCCTGTCCCAGCTGACTTTGAACTGTGATCCTCAGATCTCAGCTTCCTAATTAGCTAGGATTACAGTCATGAGCCACTGGTGCCAGGTTTGGCATTTCTAATATATATATAAAAAAAGTAAAATATTTTCACTAAATCATTTATATAAAGATCTAGAACATGTCAAAATGTTATATATTCTTAAAAATAATTATGCACGTAGCAAAAGTATAGAAATGAACTGGGCCAGGCACTGGTGGCTCACGCCCGTAATCGTAGCTACTCAGGAGGCTGAGATCTGAGGATCACAGTTCAAAGCCAGCCTGAGCAGGAAAGTCCATGAGACTCTTATCTCCAATAAACCACTAGACAACTGGAAGTGGCACTGTGGCTCAAGTGGTAGAGTGCTTGCCTTGAGCTGAAGAGTGCAGGGACAGCACCCAAGTCCAAAGTTCAAGCCCCACACCCAACAAAAATAAATAAATAAATAATAAATAAATAAAATACAAAAAATTATATTTAAAAAACCAAGAAATGAGCTGTGCACCAATGGCTCATGCCTGTAATTCTAACTACTCAGAAGGCTAAGATCTGAAGATCCCACTTCAAAGTTTGCACGTAGGAAGGTGTGAAAAATTATCTCCAATTAACAACCACCAAAAAGCTGAAGTAAAGCTATGACTCAAGTGCAGAGTGCTAGAATTGAGCAGAAAAGTTCAGGGATAGCATCCAAATCCTGAGTTCAAACCCTAGGACTAGCACAGAAAAAAGAAAAAAGAAATACAAAGGGAGTGAAAACCACAAAACAACACAAAAGTCAACAGTAAGGAGACAAGAGTCATTTACTTTCCTTTTGTGTTTTTAAACTGAGGAGCCTGAGTACTGTGCCAGAGCTTTTGTGCTCAAAGCTAGATTCTACCACTTGAGCCAAAGCATTCCCAGCCTGGACTGGCTTCAAGTCTCAATGTTCAGCTCTCAGCCTCCTGAGGACCTGGGATTTTAAGTGTGAGACAAATAAACCAAACCTAGTTTGGTTTATTTTTGAAGCACAAAAACTTACCATACTATTTTTTTGCAGTTGTGTTGTATTTTTCTAAACTAGGATATAATAAATCTTAAGACTTTTTTTTTAAAAAGGGATCTACTATAGAGAGACCAATAATTTTCTGATAGACCTATGTTTAAATGTGTTTATTGTTTGTGGCAAGGTTTGTGCTCAAGCCCTAACATGTGATATGCAGATACTACTCTAAGACTTGAACCACGCCTACAGCTTATGTCTTGCACTGGTTATATTAAGATAAATTCTCACTTTTTGCTGGGAATCCCAGTCCTATTCACACTTTCCATAATAGCTGGGATGGTACAGGCCAATTCAGCTTCTCACTTTTTTACCCAGGCTGACCTAAAACCACAGTCCTCCCAATCTGAGTCTTTCACATTGTTGGTTAACATATACACACCACTGTACCCAGCAATTGTTTGAGAATGGGTCTCACTTATATGCTAGGCTGGCACAAATAGCAATCTTCCCAATCTAAGCCTTCTAAGTAGCTATGATTTAGGCATGCACTACTAGTGCTCAACTTTAAATTCTTTAAATTGTAAAAAAAATAGAAATAAATATAATGAAGAAAAGGTTAATAGTTGTGAAAAGACAAGTTGGTAGTCTTGCTTATATGCAGTTGCTTGCTGTAATGAAGAACTTTGTCTCTGTTCTTTTACCTGTCTCTTATATGTCTCAAGTTGACCTCGAGCTGCATTGGCTTTCCTCAACTCCTCCTCTAGACTGACAGTATTTTGCATATACATAGTATTCTTTTCTTCTAAGAGTTTAACCTGTCGTCTCAAATCACCGAGGTCTTCCAACTTCTTTTTATAAGATTCCACTTGGCCTTCTAGTTTAGACACTTTATCAGAAGAATGTCTAGAATGAGATATGAAATTTTAAAGTCAGAAATATAGTTAAAAACTGTTTCAATGTCAAAGCAAGAGAAATGACAAGGTAAAATATGTAATAATGAAATTATAAGACCAAAGTAATTCTAGGTTAATATTTTACTTAGGATAAAAATATAACCAAATTTACAGAAAGTTCATTGAGAATGTTATATAGTTTAAGAAAAGTAAATAGCAAAGGGAGCTCACGTTTAACACAAAAGTAAAATAATGATTTGTCACTAGTGACAACAGGAGCATAGGTTTCAATGTACAAGTGTGGATAGACACACAAAGATAGTGGGGGGAAATGTAAATTATTTTATGTTGTCTAAGCTTGGTTTTAGAAGGGTTGATAAGTACCTCTCTCTTCTCTCATAAGATTAAAGTGAAATATCCAGGTGCCAGAGACTCAAACCTGTTACCCTTACTACTCAGGAGACTGAAAGCAGAGAATCATGGTTCAAAGCCAGCTTGGGCAGAAAAGTCTACAAACCTCCATCTCCAATTAATAAGCAAAATGCCAAACTGGAGATGTGGTTTAAGTGGCAGAGCACAAGCTATAAGCAAGCAAACTGAGTGACAGTGCAAGGCCCCAAGTTTAAGCCATGGTACCAGCATGCACACTTGTGTACATACACACTCACACACATATGTGTGGTGTGTTCACATGCACTTGAAGAGAATTAAGTGAGTGTGTTGTGTGTGTGTCTGTGAAAGACTGAGATTCAAGATAAGAAGATAAATGATAATTGTGTAACACAGTCCTTACATAGGCAAGAAACACTTAATATAGATGAAAGTGTTAGTACCCAACAGGCAAAATAATAATACATATAGAAGCAAAAAAGGAAAAAGATGGGTGGGAATGCAGAGAAGTATAGAGGGCACAAAGGATATAGAATGTCAAACAATTCATTACTTCTTTCTTCTACACAGTAGGAAATCAGGTCATCTACTGAGATGAAGGCATGATAGTGGCAGACAGATGAGAACAACTATGAAAATGTAAGAACTACGAAAGAAATGGAAGATAAAGGTATGCAACAGTGAGGAACAGAATGGTAGACAGAGATAGGGGCCTAATTTATACTAGGAAAAGCTTAATTTATACTAGGAAAATATCATGGAACGGTGTGATTTTTATCTGTACACTCAGTGTTCAAAGAACAAAAGATAGAAAACATAGACAGTCAGAATGAACCATCAAGTGACAAAAGATTGTGCAAGAATTAAATGGTGGAACAGTGAGGTGAGATAAAGTGAGAAAACTAGAGGAAAAGTAGCTAAAGAAAGATGCTTTACAAAGACACACCTTGTCTGGTATGCTAGTAACTAAGAAAAAGGAAGACCAGAACTAAGAGCTCAGGAAAGAAGAAGGAAGAAGAAAGAGTACAAAGGAAGAAGAAAGAAGAAGAAAAAGGAACAAGAAGAAACTAGAAGGAAGAAGGAACGGGGAGGAGTAGGAGGAGGAGCATCAGTGCTATGCAAGTATAAAGTGATGGCTACAGGTAAAATTGTATTTAACAAATACTTTATGACACTTATTTGACAGATATCATTCTGAATGCCTGCAAATATAAACTCATTTAATTCCTCATAGCAACTTGAGTAAGTGTACACTATTGTTTTTTTTTTTTGGTCAGTCATGGGGCTTGAACTCTAGGCCTGGGCACTGTCCCTCAGCTCTTCAGCTCAAGGCTAGTACTCTACCACAGCACCACTTCTGGTTTTCTGGTGGTTTATTGAAGAGTCTCACAGACTTTTCTGCCCCGGCTGGCTTTGAACCGTGATCCTCAGATCTCAGACTCCTTAGCAGCCAGGATTACAGGTGTGAGCCACCAGTGCCTGGCTTGTGTACACTATTTTTTGAAAAAAGAAAAAAAAAGAAAAGAAAAAGAAAAAAATGGTTACATATCCATTAAGTAAATGGTCCTGGGATTAGAACCCAGGTGATTTGGTTCTTAAAAGATGTTGGTGTGCTCAGAAAGGCCAGAATTTCAACATCAGAGATAAATGGGTGACAAGGGGCCTGAAATTTCACAAACATACCTAAGAACATCTATTTCATCTTTTAAAGATTGAGCTTCATCTGCCAGAGTGGTTAGTTCATCATTCTGTTGCCGAAGTTCAGAGATTTCCTTTTCTAATTCTTCACAGCGTATTCGATAATCATCTTTGGCTGCTTCTAGTCTGTAACCAAACCAAAATAGATTTGAAAAGCCCTTCTTGTAGTCTCATAATTCTCCTTAGAAGAGTAAAAGAAAATAAAAACATGTAACGTAGGAAATAAACTTTTCTTGAAAATGACTCTGGCTTGTGGCTACATTTGTCATGGAAACAGATACAACTGCTCCAGGAGTGGCATGGACACTAAGTGGTGACTTTATTACTGTCAGAAAGCTAGATATCATAGAGTAGACATCTCCAAAAACTGCAGATATACTTTATTTTTTTACTAAAAATTATTTTCCTTGTTGAAAATTAGCAAATTCAAGAAAATTAAGAAAATAAAAGTCATTTAATTTTAATTAAAATTTGTCAGTTGTGGGGCTTGAACAAGGCCTGGGTGCTGTCCCTGAGCTGTTTTGCTCAAGGCTAGTGCTCTACCACTTTAAGCCACAGCTCTACTTCTGATTTTTAAGTGGTTATTTGGAGATAAGTCTCTGCCAAGGCTGGCTTTGAACCATGATCCTCAGATCTCAGCCTCCTTAGTACCGAGGATTACAAGTGTGAGCCTCTGGTGCCCAGCTATAAAAGTCATTTTAATTCAGACAGATAAATACTGTAGATATAATTTAAAGTTTAAACTTTTTATTTGTTTACTTGCCGGTCCTGGTGCTTGAACTCTTGGCCTGGGTACTATCCCTGAGCCTCTTTGTGCTCAAGGTTAGTGATCTCCCAATTGAGCCACAGCTCCACTTTTGGCTTTTTTGAGCCTGGGTTGGTGTTGAACCGTGTTCCTCAGATCTCAGCCACCAATGCCTGGCATTAAACGCTTTCATTAGAAAACTAAAATCTATTACTTTTAGGGTGGGTTCTAATGGCTGAGATATAAGGATCACAGTCCAAAGCCAGCTCAGGCAGGAAAGTCCATGAGTCTCTTAACTACAATTAACCACCAAAAAGCTGAAAGTGGAGTTATAGCTCAAGTGGAATAGTGTTAGCTTTAAGCAAAAAGCTCAAGATCAAAGCTCAGGCCCTGGGTTCAAGCTCGAGAACTGGGCCCCCAAAACAAAACAAAAAAATCTGCTACTTGTTGAAAATTTGCAAAAGACAAAGAAGCAAAGCAAACAGACAAACAAAAAATCTGTTGACAGTTTTAGAGTATATCCTATAGTTTGAATTCTTTTCATATTTTTCCAAACTAGAATTAATATTATTCTTACTTGTAAATAACCAGATTTGTTTATTTAACACACATATATTCTTTCCTTAATTTGCAAGGCTATTTGTCTCTCCTGTCAAATATTTTATGCAGTTGATTATTTATTTTTACTTATATAATATATAGAATTAGTTTTATTTAATTCAATTGATGGATTTTATACCTCATAGTTTCTGCTTTTAATGCAAGTTTTGAAAGTTCTTTTTTTGTGTGTGCTGATACTGGGGCTTGAACTTAAAGCTTCACATTTTTTTTTGTGGATTGTGGGGCTTGAACTCTGGGCCTGGGCACTGTCCCTCAGCTTTTCAGCTCAAGGACAGTGCTCTACCACTTGGCCACAGTGCCACTTCTGGTTTTCTGGTGGTTTATTGGAGATAAGAGTCTCATGGACTTTCCTGCCCAGGCGAGCTTTTAACCGTGATCCTCAGATCTTAGCCTCCTGAGTTAGCTAGGATTACAGGCATGAGCCACTGGTGCACCGACCCTGGAGCTCTTTTAGCTCAAGGCTAGTGCTCTACCACTTGAGCCACAGAGACACTTCTAGTTTTCTGGTGATTAGCTGGAGATAAGAGTCTCATGGCCTTTGCTGCATGGGCCTACTTTGAACCTTGATCCTCAGATCTCAGCCTCCTGCGTAGCTAGGATCATGGACATGAGCCACCGGCACCTGGCAGGGCTTCACATTCTTTGCTATTACTTGAGCCACTTCTGGCTTTTTGCTGGGCTCCAACCCAGGACCACATACACACACACAAATGCCCATACAAAGAGACCAAACAAACAAGGAAAATCTCTGCTATAAATCCCTGTCCATGACCAATTGTTTGTTTTATTGAAAGTGTTTTATATTTTAGATGAAGATCATTGTTTTGAAGTTCTCAGGAACCTGCACTATCATTTTTCTATTTATTTTTTTATTTTTTTTTTGGGTTCGGTCGTGGGGCCTGAACTCTGGGCCTGGGCACTGTCCCTCAACTCTTCAGCTCAAGGCTAGAGCTCTACCACTTGAGCCACAGCGCCACTTCAGGCTTTTTTCTTTTTGCTTATGTGGTGCTGAGGAATCGAACCCAGGGCCTCAGGCA